TGGCTGAGGGGAGCTCAGCGCCCCACCGCTGACGGAGAGCGGAGCCCCCTTCTTCCCGCCCCCTGCTCCTTTAACACCGCAGGGAGAGACCTTCCTTCTCCCAACCCCTTCCCAGGAGGGGACAGGGATCCCCCTGCCCTCACCCCCATCCAGCCGGGCTCCCTGCCCTTTGCTCCCGTCAAGCGGAGGGTGAGTCAGGCACCTGCAGGCTCCAAGCAGGTGGGGACAGAAGCTGGCCCCGGCCTCCGAGGAAAAGGGTTGGGCCTTTCTCCTTCCTCCTCCTCCTTTCTTCCTCTCCATAGGTGGTGGGGCTGGACCGGAGTGAACTCCTCTGTCCTGTCAGCCTCTCGCCATGGCTGGCGGTGGGGCTGAGATCTCGCTCCTGTTCATGACCAGCATCGTGGTGGCCGTGGGGCTGTGCAAGAAGCTCATCCGCCGCCGGCTGTACTTGGACCACCGCCTTTTCACTTTCCTCATGGAGATGCTGAGCACCTTCCAGATCTGTGCCTGCACCAACGAGCTCTGCCTGCTCGGCAACGTGGAGCCGAAGCCTCACGTCGCCCTCAGTCTCACCTATGGTTTCACGGTCCTGCACGGCCTGACTCTGAGCGGCAGCACATGCAATCCCTGCGGCACTTTGCAGTCCGTGTGGAGCGGGGGGGTATCGCTCAAGACCGGTGGACTCAAGATCGCCGCTCAGTTCGTGGCTGCAGTGGTTGCCAGGGTGTTTATGCATTGTATCTGGAGCCTGGGGATAGCAGAGACCCATTTTGGAGCACCCTCACAGGGCTGCAGCAGCCCCATGCAGACTACGGTGATGCAGGCGTTCTGCATAGAACTGCTCTTTTCTGCCGTTTTCCAGCTGACCTTCCTGCGAGTGGAAAGAGTTAATCCCAAGTACAGAGTGCATCTGATATCTCTTCTCATCACCCTGCTCGTGTATGCAGGTTAGTCTTTTTCTTTGTTCCTGCAATGAAGTTGTAACAAAAGGGGGTTTTGGTTTACTTAAAAGTGTTAAGATGTAAAATTCCTGTTCTTACGTTACAAAAAGTGCATCGAGCAGATTCTTTGGTCCAACATATGCAGAGTTCATTTGGAGTTTGTGTAAAGTTTGCCTGATTTAGATTCCAGGCAGGTGGGGGGCTAAGAATGAAATGAGTTTTGAATTTAAAACACTGTCAAATCCGCAAGTCAATCTGGTGAAGATTTTCACAGAACACTGTTAAAATATCTCAGTGAAGGCCCGTTTCATAACCCAACTTGATACAACGTGAGAGATTTCATACAGTGTGCTCTGATTTCGAAGCAGCATTGCGAAAGGAAAACACCACTGATTGTGCAACAGCAGGGTACAGGCTGGTGATATGGCATTTAAATAATGCATAATTCATATCAGTGCAGTTTAACTGTGTTAAATCCTTAAAGCAGAAGTGGTTATTTGTAGTATCCATGCAGAAATGATAAAATACCTCATGAAACCAAGTGTACAAAAAGGGGTCTGTTGTATCGTGGCACTGATGACAGCCTTGTGTCTCTAGTGCACTGTGTGTTCATGTCCTTGCCTCTGCCTGGTTGTCACCTCATGCTTCCCAGAGCAGGGAAACTGTCACCTGGGCAGCTTCCCTGGAGCGGTGGGAAGAGGTGGGGGGAGTCAGTCTGAACTTCTTTCTGCAGGTGATGCTCCCTGTTGCCCCCAGTGAAGTACCAGAGTTGTGTCACTTGTCACCCTGCAGGGTTGTACTGGGAAGGGGATTCTGTAGTTTGGGATACAGGGAGGTGAGAGAGAGATGGTTATAGAGCTCCTTGTGCTACAGCCCCCACATCAAAGTCATCTAGGAAATGATCAAATCTGGTTATGAGACAGGGAAATCACTCTCTTACCAGCAAAAATCTGGGATGTCCCTGACATCTTGTGTAAAAGGTTTAACTGTATTATGCTATCAAACATAATAGCCTATAGTAGAATAAAATAAAATACAGGTGAATTTTCAGATGTTATTAATGGAAAAACCTTTACTCATTCCATTAACCTGAAATTAGCCAATACCTGCAAGATTAAAAGAAGCCCACAGAGAATTTTAAGCATTAACTTGGCAATTTGAACTACTTTCTAACATTAATTTTGAAAGCATAGGGAGGGTGTCAGTGCATTTTAGCACATCAAATATATTTCTGAATTCCTCATCAAGTGTAGCTGAAGGTTATCCTCCCTCTTCTACAAGGATGAAAAGGTGGATTCCTGGTTCTTAACATTCTTTTCTTACTTAGCAAATAGTCACATAAAATAATATGTCATGTTGCCTTCCTCTTCACTAGTTCATACAAAGGATTCACGTCCTTTGTCATGGGCCAGGCTGGCCTCAGACCTTTTCCAAGTCATAAACTTGGACTTGCTACAACTGTCCAGTGCAGTCGATCCCCGTGTACTTCTAGGAATCATCAGACTTCCTGTGTCCTCTTTAACATGCACAGTTTGTCTGTATTGTGTACAGAACACCCTGAGCTACCTGGACAGTTTTCTTTCCATTTCTTTTAATCTAGACGTAAGTCTACTATAAAAATGCATATGCATTCCAGAGAGCAGATCCTGAAGCTAGTATTATCCCATATTCAGTGGAATCATAGAATGGTTTGTGTTGAAGGGACCTTAAAGCTCATCCAGCTCCAACCCCTGCCCCGGGCAGGGACATCTTCCACTAGAGCAGGTTGCTCCAAGCCCCTGTGTCCAACCTGGCCTTGAACACTGCCAGGGATGGGGCAGCCACAGCTTCTCTGGGCACCCTGTGCCAGCGCCTCAGCACCCTCACAGTAAAGAGCTTCCTCCCCTCCCTGACCTGCTGGCCACTCTTCTTTTGAGTCTCATTCTTTCTTGTTCACTCTGCTCGAGGCTTCCTAAGATTTGCCATCTTTGCTGTACACTCAGCTTCAAAAGGAAAGGTGAAAAGTGCTGTCCTCCCCCTGCAGTAGGCATGAACATGGGTGTTTCCTCTTCACTCCTAAGATGTTGATTGAAGCCTCTTAAAGTAGAGGAAGGCATAAAATCAGAGATTCTTATCATAGAGCTATTATATAACTAACGTGGGAAAATGCTCCTGCTATGAATTTCTTCCTGTGACAAGGTCACAAGCTTGCAGTGTAACAGATCTGTTTTGCATTGGAAGGTTAGGTAGCTATAGGCAGGATACCTAAGTGGTTCTCAAACCTTTCTTGCTGCCTCTTCCCCTTTGCCCACATCCACACAGAAACATTCCCCAGAATACCCTCCTCTCTCCTGAAATCTACAATATAAAACCATACTGGTTTGGTTTTACGCTCTGATTCTAAAAACCACATCAATTGTGCCTTCAGGACCTGTGCTTGTTAGTTATGAATGAACCAGAAACGTTAGAAAATACACCTCATACATAATATATCACATTTCATTCCATGAATTATGTTCTACAATGGGTTTGAAAGCTGTAAGGGGAAGAATTGCTGTCTAAAAGAGGACTGTAAGAGGGAGTATCTCCAATTCCAATTTGGTTTGGGTGTTACTTTGAAGGATACCCATATCCCTGTGGCTTATCTCAGTCCAAATGTATTGATACACATGCAGGGCTCAAAACCATTAAATTACATTTACATGGTGACTGAGTAAGGTGTTGGAACAAGTAAGTGTTGATGGGTCACTGTTGTGTGTAGCCCATTACAGGTACTTCAGTATGCAACAAATAATGTCAGATTATACGGGAGCTGCAAAATTTCAAGCTGTTCCTTTAGTTTTTCTTCTACTTTTTCCATAGTTAAAAATAATCTGATTTTTTCTTTTAACATTTAGTCTTAACACAAACCAAATTTTTACAGCACAAACTGTGCAGAAAAGTTCCATTTCTGCATTGGCTGTTTCTTCTCCAAAATAGAAGGGAAGAGAGAACATTATGTCTTTGCATATGAAGTGAGTGATTCAGAAGCTAAGGATGCACACTATATACGTGTTGCTAAAGAATATCTTTGGGTATTTCCTTTGGGAAAAGATTTAATGAGGGGAAGAGTAAAAATACACCTTTTTGAGGGCTTTTTCCTTTGCAGGCAGTTTTACAATGAAGTCAGACTTGTATGAAATCGGTTAAATCCTTCTGAGCCTAAAATATCACAGTAAAAAATACATATATATACTTAATTCCAAGTTTCTTCCTAATTTTGGGTTTGCCCTTAGTAATTTCAAGCGTTAAAATGACTCGCGCGTGTGTGGAACACTCATTACTTCACCTTTTTAAGCTTTTCTGTGTACAGCAACATAGATGTTACATTTCTTTGGCCATAAAATCCTTCTGGTGCACAGACTGAGATGTCTAAATAAGCATTTTTAAATAAGATTATACAATGGTTGATATTCCAGTAGTTACTAGTAATGAATATTGAAGAAATACAGCAGCTAAACCTCTGTTCAATGTTCAGAAACAGCAGCTGCATCCCGAGAGTGAAATTCTACTCTTAAATGTATGTTTGTGGATCTAAAAGCAGAAGCAGTGAATTCATACAGAGATGAAATGACTGTAGGTGGCCTCCCTGGCAACCATGGAAGTTGTCCATGTGTCAGAGTGCACAATAACAGACTAAATGTGCCCAGTGAATCTGAGTTGCTCTGGAGAACACCTGTAAAACCAGAGTAAATTGAGTAGATCAACAAAGATTAAAACCTTCCTGAACAGGAATAACAGTAAAAGAAATCAGGAGGAGAATAGAGAAAGAGAAATAGACCAGAAAATGGCAAAGAGCTTACTAAACCTTCTCATAAATGATGCTCATACAAATGGGGGTTACAGAGTGTGGTATTTCGTACACAGGGGAGTTCAACGCTTATTTGGGAAAAATCAAGAACCTTTAAGAAACTAAATCAACACAATTATATTTTATGGGATTAGATTAGCAGATAAAACAAGTATGGGGTGGTTAGTAACTAGTAGTACAGAAATATAGATGATTTTACTGTGAGTAGTGCTTTTTCTGCAAGCCTGTGATGAGAGGAATATCGTATGTCAGAATTAAACCACCTGCAGGTTCATCTGCTGTGTAATTACAGTTCAGTCCCCATAATGTGATGTGCTTGGATCTAGTTATTTAGAGAATGTTTAGGCAACTTCCTTTACATCTAAATCTACTTCTGCCTAAGAGCTCATCTCAGTCTCCCCTCTGGCAGGTTAAAGCCATTCCCCCTTCTCTTCTAAAAGTGTGGTACAGACTTTAAGTAAAAAAACTTATCAGCTGAAACATTCAACATGAGCCAAACCCATCTCTTTAAAGAATATTTGGTAGGAAGAGATAAAGGAAGTTACAGTTTACACTTGTATTTCAGAAAACAGTTAAAACTCTTAACCCTGTCATCAGGTGAGTAACTCAGGAGAGTTTATCTGTTCAAATGCTTTCTGCTAATTCATTTTATTGCAGGGTGTACATTGATTTTAGTATTGTGTATGTGCATTTCAGTATTAATTTAGAATAAATACTTAGATTTGATTTCGCACTGTTTGCATTTTATTGCAGGTGGAAATCTCACAGGAGCAATATTTAACCCAGCATTGGCTTTTTCATTACATCCACACTGTTTCTATGAGAAATTTCTGAGTTACTCACTAGTATATTGGGTAGCACCATCCTTGGGTAAGTTCTTCATACTTTGTTATTTGAGGAAGTTTTATTTAGTACCTGGTTCAGAAATCAGGAACTGGTTCTTCATTTGATAGTCTGCTTTAATGAAATCCAGAACACAGTCAGTTATAACATAGAATATAGAATCACAGACTGGTTTGGGTTGGAAGGACCTTAAGATCATCCAGTTCCAACCCCCCTGCCATGGGAGGCATACGTGTAGAAGTCATTCACAGTCATGGTTTCACTCTGCATGTGTAAGCTGTGGATTTTAAGCCTCTTTAATGCCCTGTGTGGAGCACCTGTAGTGTTCTGTTTGTGAATCAAGCATCTGAGTTTTAAACATCAGTTTCATTCACAAAATTATATCTGCTCTTTCAATAAGTTCATTTTAGGAAACAACCATATTAGGTTAAATAATTGTTTAGTTTAGATGTCGTGTGTAGACGAAGCCCTTGGTGCCATGGGTTAGTGGTGGCATTGGCAGTGCTGGGGAATGGTTGGACTTGATGATCTTAAAGGTCTTTTCCAACCCTGTTCAAAGTCTTAAGTATTTCTGGGATACTTTGAGCCAGAAAATGTACCTACCAACCACACCAGCACAGTTCTAAGGCTAATGTTTAGCTGTTTGGTTTGGTTTAACTGGTTAGTTATAAACCACCAGCTGTTTACTCTGGTGGCTTTCAGAGCTGCCTATTGTTTGGGACTTTACACCTTGGTCTTGCGGTTTAGCCTGCTTGAGGGACATTGCAAATGATCTCACTGACCAAGGACCCACTTCTAGATTCCAGCAGAGTATTAAAAAGGAGAAGAGGTCACCTGAAAGTGAATATTAGCCTGATTAAGTTCAAAAAGAGAAACATACCGGTTAGCACACAGTTTGTCTTGCTTTTTGACACTATACAAGAACACAGTGATGCTTAATTAAAAAACCCCACGTTTTAGGACAAGTGCTTAAAATGAGCTTTCTCAATTATCTATTCTACTATTACAATACCAAATCACATTTTTATCTCCACAGTGTCTAAACTTTGCAGTTGCCATTCTGTGTTCTTCCGCCAGTCACTGTTGGAAACAATCTGTTCTTAGTTCAGGAATAAGGAATATTAATAACTAGATTTTTTTCTAACTTAAATTACAGTTTTAATTTGGAAGCTGTTGATTTTGAGTTGTGTGCAGACGAAACTGCTCCACGCTGTTGGTTGTTCACAGTTAGTCCCTCTTGAGCTTGCTGTGTAGAGGGTATATAAAGAAACTGTCTGCTAATCCCGAGTTCTTCCGTGATTGTTAATCCTATTAGGAGGTACAACAGTGAGGAAGGTACAACAGAGCATGAAACATAAACAGGAAACATCTCAAAGGGCACCAGTTAAAACAAAGAACTTCTTGTTTGAGTTTACATCTGTGCATGTTCCACTTGCATTGACTCAGTCGAAAATGGAGATGGAAGTTTCAGGCTAACTAAAATTCACTTTAATATCATTTTGATATATTAGATACCCAAACAGGATATGAACATAGAGTAAGCTACTGATGAGTAAGATACAAGCCTGTGGGCTCTTCCAGTTGGTAGCTCATTTTTTAACAGGAGACAAAAAAAGGTCTTAAACTGTAGTCAGGTGCCTTTCTTTGGACTCCGTGATCCTTCTGGGTCCTTTCCAGCTTGAGCTATTCTATGATTCTCATGAAGAACCTACAATCTCTGACACTTTTCATCTTCAAAATAAACCCTAAAGTAGAGCAATCTTCAACAACCCCCCCTAAAAAGCCCAACCCACTGTCCTGTACCTCTTTACATCACCTAAAACCAGTGTGGTTACCAAAACAGATACTGCTTACACACTCATCCTTACCCAGTCAGCTGAGGAACAGAGCTTAGCTGCTGGTTCAGTCATTTATACATCCAGCTACAAAGAAAGGAGGCCTGACACAGCAACCAGAAGGTGCATGTGTTGGAGTCACCTGGTCAGACATTAGCTTGGCTCACACAGGTTAGAATTAGAACAAAGAAAACTAAGGTTATTAATTGATAAGGATCACTCATAAGGTTTCTTGGTGGAAACAGATGGTGTTTGCAAACAGTACCAACTGCCTCTAGCCCTTTTTGACAGAAAACTCTGTTCTTCCATCCCTGCCGACACTCAACTACTTGAATATTTATTTTCAATACCAGAACTGCGTCCTCCTCAAGTACAGTGAAATAAAGGCCCTTCCTGTGACTTCTCTCTTTCAGGTACAATACTTGTGGCTTTTATATGGGGTGAAATCCTTCCCCGGATCTCCTGAGCCATCAAATCCTGACATCAAGCAGTGACATTGAAATATACCTTCAACATCTGCAGATGTGAAGCTGTCAGAAAAGTGCTGACCTCAACTTCCACACCACGTTTCAGTTGTATTTCCAGACTTCATGTTTGAAATCTTTGACTTCCAACTTTGTATTCAAACACTTCTTTAGTAATAGCACACTGGGATCTTGAGATACCTGCCACCATTTCCAGTTCAACCATAGGAATGTGAAGGACAGTTAAAACACTGCAACTTTGTCACTTTAGCCGGAAGTGCCATTTGCTGACCTTTATTACAACAGTTTGCAAAGCTCATTTTAGAGACATACTCAGTCCTTGTAATGACTGGGTTGGATTTCTTCCCATAGAAGGCACCTGCCTAAAAAAAGGAGCTGAAGATTCCATTCTTCTATTGACCTCCTCATACTCCTCCTTGCAACACAGGAGAGAAAGAAAGGCTACACTGCTCCCTAGAAGAGGCTCCACAGCTCTATTCTAGAGACACCTTACACCAAAATTAACAGTCTGTAGGACCAGCATTGTTTTACTAATACCTGAGTGCAGGTAAGTAACTCCTCACTTCCTTTGGGAAGGCTCTGCCACATCCCATCCCACTGCAATTGATTGAATGTTTATCTTGGTTGGAAAAAGCAGTAATAAAAGTGCATAAAAGTCTGTAGTCACACATATAAAAGGGCATTTGAGGCAAAAAAACCCCAAAACGACTTCACCTGAGATCACTGCTGCCTCTTCACACAGTAAAATAGACACAGTACATAAGGATGAATCATGTGGAACTTGATTTTATGTAACTCTTACCAGATACTTTCTTTTAATAAATGAATTTGCAATATAGGAGAATAAATGAAAGAGCCTCATACACAAACTGCCACAAACATGCCCTTTATACCCTCCACTGAGGAGAACACCAGAGAGGTACCATCCTCTGAAGTTGTTTCTAGCACAAGATGCTAGATCTGCATCTTAATTCTTAAATATGCCAATAGTTTTTAAATTGAAGACTTCACTTTATAGTTAGTAGGTGTTACAGGGGAGATGGTTAACCAGTTCTACAAAGATACCACCAGTAGCAGACCAGATCCTCAGAAAAAGGAATGGAATCAGACACATTTTGTTGCATTTTCTACAATCAAATGATGACCCAAGTCTTGACCAGCTGCTGCTGGCAGCTGCCTTTTCTGCAAGTTTGGGAAGTAAATACTCTCATGTCATTTCTTACTTGTGGCAATAAAATCTTAATTTTCCAAGGTACCTCTAAGGTTACATTGCAAAATCAGCTGTTGGAACATGGGTTTCATATAAGAGTCTTAACCCACAACCCTGTATTCAGTCATTAAACTAAAAGCAGGCTGCTGATAAACTGAGAACTAGAACTGCTGGTTGATCAGTCAGCAGCTCTTGGGTACTAGTGTGAGTAAGCTTACTAAAGGAGACTTACTTACCTTTAGTAAAACTCCTCACAGCAGGGTCTATGCACACCACACTGTGAGCATGATCAGACACAATCCTTCAGCTGGTTTTACATTCATCTGCCTCTTTGTTGCTGGTTGATCAGTCAGCAGCTCTTGGGTACTAGTATGAGTAAGCTTACTAAAGGAGACTTACCTATCTTTAGTAAAACTCACAGCAGGGTCTATGCACACCACACTGTGAGCATGATCAGACACAATCCTTCAGCTGGTTTTACATTCATCTGCCTCTTTGTAACTCGGGGCTAGAACAGAACTCCAGTGCATGAGACCTCTGAAAAACACATCCTTTTACCATCCACTGCTTCTAAACAGCTGCTTTGGGAAGATTCTACCTCCCACTCTCTGGCTTTGCTGCTTTTTTACCTATTTTAAGGTGATCCATATATTGTAGATTATTTTTCCCCCTCCCTGGGGCTTTGTCTTCACTGCCTTACTCAAGCTCAGTTATTAAGCTCATTCTTACACAAATAGGCCTGACATAGTGAACTGATTTGCATGTCTCCTTTGAGCCTGTGAGGCCCACAGGGTAAAGGCCTCAAGAATAAAGGTCATGAAGCATAAAAGCAGGCAGGGAAAAGAGAAAGTAGAGATACAAACCCCCAGGCAGCCAGAATTTATTGGATTAGAGGCCCAGCTTCCACGTCGTTGACAACAGCGTATGAAAGCAAAGCCCATAGAGCACAGGGGTCAGATTGAGAACAGCCCTGAGAACGACTTGGGTGTTAGGTGAGGAGAAGCTCCCCATGACCCAGCTTCAGTGAGCGCTTGAGCCCAGAACCCCCCCGTGTGCTGGGTGCACCCCCAGAGCGTGAGCAGCAGCTCAGGGAGGGGATCCTGCCCCTCTGCTGTGCTCTGGGGAGACCCCCCCTGCAGCCCTGATCCAGCTCTGGGGAACAGCACAAGAGGGACATGGAGCTGCTGGAGCGAGGCCAGAGGAGGCCCTGGAGCTGCTGCGAGGGCTGGAGCAGCTCTGCTCTGGAGCCAGGCTGAGAGAGCTGGGCTGGGGCAGCTGGAGAAGAGAAGGCTCCTCAAGGGGACACCTTAGAGCAGCTCCAGGGCCTAAAGGGGCTCCAGGAGACCTGGAGAGGGGCTTTGGCCAAGGGATGTAGGGACAGGCCAAGGGGAATGGCTTGAACCTGCCAGAAGGGAGACTGAGATGAGCTCTGAGGCAGAAGCTCTTCCCTGTGAGGGTGCTGAGGCGCTGGCACAGGGTGCCCAGAGGAGCTGTGGCTGCCCCATCCCTGGCAGTGTTCAAGGCCAGGTTGGACACAGGGGCTTGGAGCAACCTGCTCTAGTGGAAGGTGTCCCTGCCCGTGGCAGGGGTTGGACCTGGATGAGCTTTAAGGTCCCTTCAACACAAACCATTCTGTGATTCCAATTTATGTATATAAAGGGGCTAGAGAAGACATTCTTCTAGAATGTCTTGGATAACACTAAATACCCAGTGTATTCAGCAATGTCAAGTTGACAACACTATTAAATCATCACTAATTTGGCTGCAATTCCTAATGAATATTCATCAAGGGTGGTTATAATTTTCCCATACCTTGAAACCAAACCATGTCCCAAGATGCTGAGCAGGGCAGGACCATTCAAAATGACTACAAGAGTGTAGGGCTGGTAAAGAAAACTGCTCATCTACCAACATGCTACTACTGCAAACAGTTCACAAGTCAACTTCAAATCACATGAAGGTAAAGAAAAACTTCAGTGTCAGACTTTCATTTGAACACTGGTCATCTAAAGCTGGGTTCCCAAGTTTGGGATGTGACAGACTAATTCTGTATTACAGGGGCCTTCTGAATATGTTCTGCCCTTTTGTTCTCGCATGCAGGTGACCCAGGAAATGGCTTCACTGGACTTTGTGCTCTAGAAGAATGTGCCAATCCCAAGGGATATCAGCTAAGGGTCACCAGTTGCTCACTGAAGGAAAGGACTGAGAGCTGCAGCCCCGAGTTGGTTGTGAGATACAAAAAACATCTTAGTTTTATTTCACAACATTGTTAACATGTGATACAAAGACACAAAACAGTTCCCTCTTTCAGGACTTTACACACTTCAGTCCATCTCCTCTCCCACCCAAACTCTGCTCTCAGAGACATGAAAGGGACAGCACTGAACTGACCCCAGTCACTTGAGGGGCGTTACATGTAGCTTTGCTTTCAATCCCAGGCTGACCCTATGTCCTTTTAGTCCAGCTTTGTAACATTTTTAGTCCCATTTTCCCCACCTCAATGAACAGGTACAAAAATATGGGGAATTCCAGGACAATCTAAAATTGTTCTACTTACAGTTGGATTTCTCAAGTCCCAGAACTCCTGCAAAGGCTTCTTTGAATGCCCCCTGATTAGCCCCATTCAAGTGTTAGATGCAAAGAGGTTTTACTGGGTTGGTTGGTTGGTTCTGGTTGTTTAAATAACCCCATAGTGGTCACAAATGTCAAACCCTGGTTTAAACATCTATAAAAGCATTTTTAGACCTTAGATGTCTTAAGCATAGGTCATTAAAAGAAAGGTTAACTCCTGATAGTCACTGCCATGCCTTCAGTTTTACAGCTTATTCTGCAAGTGCCACAAGAGGAATCTGAAAGATACAAGACACCAAGTTTACATGATTAAAATAAAGGTTATTTATCTTTACAAAGTCACAGTTAATCATTGTTTGCAGCTACAGGGGACAGCACTTCACTGCAAACCCACTGGTTTTCACACAGGCTCAGCATCTTTGGCAGCAGCTCTAAGCTCAGGTCAGCTAAGGACAAGCTGCTGCATGGCCATGCCCTGGCAGACCCCCCCACACACACAGGTCACTCCAGAACAACAAACTGCAACTCGTGATGTGACAGACACAAAACTGCTCATTAAACACCAGTGGAAGCATCCCACGTGAACCAGCAGCAAGTCTCCAGGAGCTCTGGTGGGCAACTGTCACATCTCATTTGGGTAATGAGCAGCAACATGCACCATTGAGCATCCCACAAAGGCATCACTTCAGCAGCAGAGCAGTGTTCTGCTCCCTAAAGGATCACAACAACGTGTTCTTGCAGGTTGGTTCTGTGGTTCAGAAGGTTAAAAGGGCCGAGCTGCTCCACAGAGGAGATTACACCAGTGATTCAGTACTAAGATCAGAGCATGCTCCCTCTCTACCCCTATTTTCAGGGTGTAGAATCAAGCTGCCCTCATGCTCAAAGTTGTGAGCACAGGCCTCCAAGAGCTGTTCTTGCCAGCTGGCACCTTCAGTTGTTCATTGGTGCTGTACATCCCAGATTTCTGAACTTACTTAAAAAAACATCATAAATGCACTCAGGCTGGTTCAGAAAGGCCCATCACACCCACAGCTCCTGAGCTGCTACCTGGAGTGGAGCAACACCACTGCACATGCAGGTCATTTGATGTGCCCTGGCAGGGACCAGCTCCTCAGCACTGACCCGAAAGGACAAGGACAAGCAGGGCAGCAGATTCCCTATCCAGTCAGCTCTCACAGCATTAATCCCCCACAGCCACCTGCAGCACCATGGAAGGCACAGATTAAGCAGCAGGAAGAATTCCTCTGCCCAAAACAACTTCTGACAGGGTGTATTTGGTGCTTTGCTAGGACATCAGTCATTTCCACCAGCACTTCCAGGCTCCTTAGAGATCTGCCACCAGCCACTAACTCTCCTTAACCCTGCTCAAGTGTTCAAATCATGCAAATTTGAATTTTCAACAGCACAATTATCTGTTCGGGGTTTTTTTTTATAAACCACAGACCAAAATCATCTTGGAGATGGAATCATCAGAGCCAAGCTCCCCATTCACTAAGAGGCTCTTCATCTACAGCTGAAGAGTTTTCCTTTATCAAGTAAGTCCTGTGGGGCAACCAGTATCTTGACTTTTATTGGAAGAACTCTCTGTAGTGCAAAGTCTTTCCCAGGCTGGGAAAGGTTTGAGCTCCTACACCCGACAATAAATACTAACTTAGGACCTGTGGCAGTGGTTGAGATCAGTAAGTGAGCACAGAGCTACTCACAGACTTACTGCAGGAGTATTAACAGCAAAGGCAAAGGAGCAGAGGAGGGAAGCAGATGTGCACAACAGCCTTTCTTGGGGCTGCAGCCTCTCTCCCAGTGACACTGTAATCCCAAACCAATTCCTTCTGTCCCATATCAGTGTGTTGCCTTCCTATGTGTGGCCCTTCCCTCCCCTGCCCTTTCTTTTTTCCTCCCCTGAGCTTTTGGCTGCTGCCCCACAACTGTTTTCTCCAGCATTCCAAGTGGTCCCAAGCATTCCAAGTGGTCCCAGCATTCCAAGTGGTTCTGTGCTCAAGGCAAGATCTGGCAGTCTCACTTCTGAGAGCTGCAGAACTGGGACAACACACCACTGCTTCAGCAGCACAGGCAAACACTGTACTAGTGAGCACTGCTGCGGCAGGGCTGGAACCACAACCCCACTCTGTGTATCTCCACACAGTGCAGAATGAGCTGCTCTTCCTCTCCCACCCAGCAGCAGCGAGGAAACATGGCACATCTTGTAATGCCACCGAGAGAAAAGCAGTGCAGGTGATGGTGGGCAGGAGGACACAACCACCTAAGCAGGCTGTTGTCCTTTAACAACCACCCCATCCAGATTGCTCAGTAGCTTTAGCAGGAACTGTTCCTGCTCTGCTTGCACTGAAGGAAGAGATGGACTCACAGCACTTGAAATGTTCTACCCCCTTGGAAGGCCTGAGAAATCCTGCACACTGAGGGTGACTTAACACACTAAGGACATAACTTCCAAGCAACAGCTCCAGCATCTCAGAGCCTCTGAGATGGGACAGTTTAATCTACTGAAGGGCTGAACTTCCAGACAGGCACCTCTGTGCAGGGTGACGGTTTATACCAACAGGCAATTTTGGACAGATCACTGGACATCTTTCCACATCTGCACTAACTACAGCTACCTTCTCCTCCTCCAAGTCATCATCATCCCAATATCACAAGATACTTCCTTGCAGGAGATCGGGGATCACGTGCATTACGCACACCAGAGACAGAAGGCTCTGCAGGCATGAAAAGGGCTGGAAACCAGAACTTACAGCAGCGTGTGGCCTCCTCAGTGATCGACTTCTGCATCTTCAAACTGCCCCGCAACTACCGGTGCTATGTCCACCTCCATCCCATCTGAAAACAGAACAGGCAACGCTACACAACACCGCAGACACGCGGGTGATGCTGTCACAGCAAAGGGAGCCCTCTGCTGACAGGAGATGGCCAGGAACCTCTGCAAGGCTCCAAGGAGATACTGATGTGCCCCCAGGTTGGTGGGCTTGTTCCAGCTCCATCAGTCGGTCACTTAAAGCCATCGCTGCTTCCCACCACCTCATCTCACCCCATCTTGTTAAAATTGACTTAAATACCAGAGTTAAACGGTTTCATTTTTAAATGAAGCTTTAGTGGAGCAAATGGCTACAAGATTCCTTCTAACAGCTTTAATTGTGCTCTAACAGGAACCAGACTGCAGAATCACTGCTCTCACACCAGCTTTAGTTTGTCTTTCCTGACAAACCTGATGGCCATCTATGACAGTTGATGCAGGGCGAGTGGTGGACCTTGTCTGCCTGATTTCTGCAAGGATATGGTTTCCTACAGCCTCCTCCTAAAGAAACTGAGGTGTTACAGTTGGACAAGTGGCCCAACTGGTGGGTGGGAACTGGCTTACAGGCTGCACCCCAAGACTGATGGTGAACAGCAGGGACATGTCACTGGTGGTGTCCCCCACGGACTGGTATTGGGCCCCAACACTGTTGAACGTCTTCATAAGTGATCTGGGTGATGGGATCAAGTGTTCCCTGATGAAGTTTGCCAAGGATACCAAACTGAGTGGGGAAACGGACACTTGGGAAGGGGGAGCCACCCTGCAGGGTGACCTGGACAGGCTGAAGAGTGGGATGGCTAGAACCTGATGGAGCTCAACAAGGACAAGTGTCAGGTCTTGCCCCTGGGAAAACCCAATCCCGGAGTGCAGCACAGGCTGGGATCTGCCCAGCTGGAGCAGCTCTGGGGAGAGGGACCTGCAGGTCCTGGGGGACACAAGCTCCATAGGAGTGACCAGTGAGCAGCTGAGCAAAGAAGACTGTGGGGAGACCTTATCCCCATGTTCCAGTATTTAAAGGGTGGCTGCAAAGAAGATGGAGACTCCCTTTTGACAGGGAGTCCCATGGAAAAGAAAGGACCGATGGGCACAGTTACTGCTGGGGAGATTCCAACTGGAAACAAGAGGAAAATTTTTTCCCACTGAAAACAACCAGCCACTGGAATAATCTCCCCAGGGAAGCGTTGGACTCCCCAGCATTGGACATTGTTAAGATTGGGCTGGACAGGGTGCTGGGCATCTAGTCTAGCTCATGCTTTGCCAAGAGGGGTTGGACCAGATGATCCCTGAGGTCCCTTCCAACCTGGAATTCTGTGATCCTATGACAACAAAAGCATTTCTTACCTTCAAACTCCCTTATGGAGTCTTCTGTTCTGACTCCAGCCATGTTGTACTGGCTGCTGACAGACTGGGCTAACATGCCTTCTAACCTCTCCAGCGTGGCCTGGCCTTCTGCAGTTAAATGTGACAACCCTTCTTCGTAGGTGTAGAAGCTGGGGATGTCACCTTGCTGTAGCTCTGCGGAGACAAGTTGGTGTTTATCAGACCTAAGTTCAGGCATCTGCATCGAGCAGGGGAGGAGGAACAAGAAGACAGGCAAATTATGCTCAGATGAGCTAGCTGAGATAAAAAGGCTGTTCATGTCAGTTACAGAAGATATATGGTGATGTGAATTGAGCACAAACGTCTGCAAACACATCCACTGGAACAAGCAAAGGCTGATACTGGTGTCCTGGGGCTTTTGAGCATGAGAACAATGTTTTTGCTGAATTCCAGTGATTTGTGACAGCTAAACTACAGAATCCCTGCAGATCTGGAGTTGTTTTATGTGCCTCTGGCAAAAGAATCTTTCAGCAAGAGGAGCAATAAACAAGGAACTTCCAAACAGACCAAATCATGACAGACAGGAAGTATCAAGGTGCTGGCAGGTACAAACCATGGGCCTCAACATCGTATTCCTCCCCTTCGTAGTCATTGTCTGAATCTTCATCATCTGGGTCTGGGTGCAGAGCTTGGCATTCACACATGGCTGAAAACATGGCTTCCACTGCAGGGACACAAACACACACAAACCTCCCTTGTTTATCCATCAGTATCCACCACAGCAGGCAAAAGACTGAAAGAGCAAAAAGACTAAGAACATTCCTTTACCAGAACCCCCACTGAATGTGTCTTTGAAACATCAACCCGCAAGCTGCAGCCAGGCAGGAAACAAATCGGGTTTCCCAGATCCAGCCTGGAGCTTTATCCTCTTAACACCACATTCCTGTTATTTTGTAGAATCCCAGAGTGGTTTGGGTTGGAAGGGACCTTAAAGCTCATCCAGTTCCAACCCCTGCCCCGGGCAGGGACACCTTCCACTAGAGCACGTTGCTCCAAGCCCCTGTGTCCAACCTGGCCTTGAACACTGCCAGGGATGGGGCAGCCACAGCTTCTCTGGGCACCCTGTGCCAGCGCCTCAGCACCCTCACAGGGAAGAGCTTCTGCCCAAGAGCTCATCTCAATCTCCCCTCTGGCAGGGTCAAGCCATTCCCCTTGGCCTGTCCCTACATCCCTTGTCCAAAGCCCCTCTCCAGGTCTCCTGGAGCCCCTTTAGGCACTGGAGCTGCTCTAAGGTGTCCCCTTGAGGAGCCTTCTCTTCTCCAGCTGCCCCAGCCCAGCTCTCTCAGCCTGGCTCCAGAGCAGAGCTGCTCCAGCCCTCGCAGCAGCTCTGGGGCCGCCTCTGGCCTCACTCCAGCAGCTCCACTTCCCTCTTGTGTTGGGGACCTTGATGATAAAGGCCCATCTCTGGACAACTCAGTCTGTGGTTACCCACTACAGGATTCTCTGTGACATCTAACATGTAAGATTCTTGAATCCTGGATCCAGTTGTAAGCTCCACACCAGATGGGACATGACTGTTTTCCAGTGGGAGCATCTGGGCATTAGCATGCTTCTAATGAGCTTGTTGCGGACTCATATATCACTGAATTTGTATTTCATCAGCTGATTCCCATACAGGTTCTCTGCAAACGTACATAGATAAGATTATCTTTGTTGTGAAATATTTATACTTTAAAGTCTCTATTTTTAAGCACTGGAATCTTCCTTGAGAAGCAGCTGCTTGACATATTCCAGCTTCAAGCAGGATAAAACACTTTGCTTTGTTCTTTTCAGCACACAGAAATCAAGTTATTAGAGAAGGACACTGCAGGATGGTGTAATTTACATCTCTATACCCCAGTCTTCCACATATAGCCAGGCCTTACATTAAACCAGTTTTTCCCTCTTCACTTACAGGCTGATTTGTCACTAGGTACAAATCTGAACTCTGCAATGGGTTCAGCATCGTCATCACTGTCCTCTTCCTCCTCCTCCCCTTCAGCCACAGGAGCATCTTTTGTCTCTGCCTCTTTAGGAAATGGAAAGATTTAAGAGAAACATGTTTATTTCTGGAACACACGGATAATCACACCAGAAACCTGGACATAACGTGGGAGAGGCACAAACCAACCCGCTCCCACCCACAGGGTGGACACACAAGGTTCTCCCACAGCACCTCAACAACACTCCTCATGCACAAACTTCTCCATTTATAATTATAGGCTTTTACATTTCTGGAATGGCCACATGATTATCCACATACTGCAGGAAAACTGCCTGATCCTTACTAAAAACAGAACCCCCACAATCCCCACTCACTGTCAGAGAATCCCAGACTGGTTTGGGTTGAAGGGACCTTACAGCTCATCCAGCTCCAACCCCTGCCATGGGCAGGGACACCTTCCACTAGAGCAGGTTGCTCCAAGCCCCTGCGTCCAACCTGGCCTTGAACACTGCCAGGGATGGGGCAGCCACAGCTTCTCTGGGCACCCTGTGCCAGCGCCTCAGCACCCTCACAGGGAAGAACTTCTTCCTTATATCCAAGGATACCTTCCTTATATCATTCCCTTGCACAATCCTCTGCACACAGATTTATGAAGTAACCTGAATTTGGGGGATCCTGAGCACTCCTGTCATGAAACCAACAGCTCCCAGCGTAGCCTCTCCTGCAGCACTCTGAGGTTTACAGAGCATCTCTACTTGACTCCTGGTATTTATAGCAGGCCAGCAAGATGTCAAAGGTAGGAAATACACCCAGAGCCAATGCCAACTGTGCAACTCCCTGTTTCCCAGCTTCTGGGCACTACTTACAGGTATAAGTTAGCAACAACTTGATGGTTTACTTTCCGTAAGTATCAATGCCACAATGATGGCTGCAGCTGATCTCTCTGTGCTGTGACACTGCACTGACGGCCTCAGAAGTGCATTAATTATGTGTTACAGAAAAAGGGGAACACAGTCAAGGCTGTTCCACTGAGAGTGGCTTTTATCCCACACAGAACTGGCACCACCAAGACCCAGAAGAAGCCAAGAAGCTGCCAACCAGCTGCCCCCAAAAATGAAGTCTCCAAGGAAGCTACACAGCCCCTTTCCAACAGCCACCCGCAGGCTCAGCTTGTCACAGCTGAGCCCAGCTCATTGTCCTCAGTGAAGTCAACCTCTCAGAGCCTTTTCCTAAATCAGGGCTGAGGCTGAGGCACACACACAGAGCACAAACCTCCAGAGGAAGAACTAAATGTCCCTGTCCAACAAAGAACTGACACTCCTGCAGCCAAAGAAGGGGAGAGGTTTGGGTTTTACATGATTCAGCAGTTAAGAACTGCAGGCCAGGGGTAGAATCATAGAATCAACCCGGTTGGAAAAGCCCTTTAAGATCATAGACTTGACAACTAAACAGATCTACCTGCTGGGCATTTACTGTAGGCTGAGTCCATATATTCACCAAACAAAAACCACCCTCAAAGATCAGTCTGTTAAGGACTCGTAGCTATGAACTGTCACGGGAGATCCATGCTTTCAACCACCATGGTCAGAATGAATTCAAAGCTCAAAAACAAAAGCCTTTTTGAGACTAAGCTCAGTTTACTTCAAAATAAACACAGATAAAGGAAAACAGGGAAGAACCACCAAGAGGTTGGACACATAAATGTCCTCTTAGTTGCAGTCCTCTATTTGTAGTGATATTGTCAGAGAACATTCTTAACATGAGAGGAGGAAATAATGAAGAGTATTAATAGTGTAAAAGCAGCTCTGCCTCCTCAGCCCTGCAGAACTTTCAGTGTATAGATGATTTAAAGAACAGTAAGATGCTAGATTTAAACCTTTAACTACAATCACTCCCAGGCATGAAGGGAAAAGGAGACCTGCTCAAGATTTACCACTCATTACTCTTCCACTGAGATGGCAGTTTATGACATAAAATATTAACAGGTCTGCCAGGAGGAAAAACCCAAATATACATCAAAACTATAGAAAACCCTCACAGAAATAACCAAAGAGACAGTTTGTTTTCTTTAGGACTCAGCAAGAATGGTCAATGGTTCTGGGGGAAGTCAACAGAGATCCATTGACATGAGCTGTTGCCTGGTTTTCAAGCAAGCTGTGGGAGATAATTATGAGTGAAAGCTTCCAGGCTAATGTGAAAAAGC